TATTTGTTCGTTCGTTTAGTAAGAGTTAATTACCGAGGTAATTAAGTATTTTATTTATCAATTGAGAAGGTTTTCTATCAAATGTTTCTCATAAATGCGAAGTCTATATATAGTTATTAACCGGGTTAATAACTAACTATATATTGACCTCGCATTTATAATGAGGGTTATAACAAAAATAAAGCCTTGTGAATAACAAAGAAAACCGTGTCAATTGAGAAATAATCGTTTGTCTTCCCTTCATTGCTTTGGTTTGCATTGTTGTCATGCCTTCATACATTTTTAATATCCATTATTATTCATTATTATTATATATTTTTTATCTTCTTAAATTTGTTTGTTTGTTGTTGTTTGCTGAGGTACTTTTTGACACTATATTTTATCACGCTATTATTATTTCTGGTAATATCATCTTTCCATTCTAACTTTCTAGGTTGTATGGATCGGCAGTGAGTTACTTGGAGTAGGAAGAGCGAAAATAGCAGATACATGTATCGTCGTAGCATTCTACGAGCCCCCTGGTAACATAGAGGGCTCGTTTGGAGCCAATGTCAGACTACAAGGAACCAAAGTAAAAACCTATCGATTAACCAAGGAAATGAAGACTTTTATTCCGCCTTCGCCTGGTAAGTGATCAAAGATTTCTAGCGACATTTCAAAAAGATTAGTTTCATATGGAAAATAACTGGAGTTTTGTTAATGTTTCATTTTTCAAATTAACAAATAGACATCAGTTTGTATTTGTCTGTCATCTTATTGACAACAAATTGCGTCATCACATAGTCAAAGTAAAGTGGATCCACGAGGCGTAGCCGTTCAACTGATTTCATTTCTACCCAAAAAGATTTAACAGCGGCCAAATTGTTGCGCATGCTTAGTAATACCTTTCTCTTTCCTTTTATCTGTCTGTTTTTTACAACCATTCTCAATCACACGCGCCGCTCTAACGTCAATCAAGGCGTTTCCATGACATTCAATAGGCAAGTGTCCTTATAGCTTTGTGTATTCCAACAATGTTATGGAAACGTCTTGTGATTGACGTCCACCAAAACCTTCTTTGTAGCGACAGAAACGATCACTAGAGGGCGCGTGTGCTTGAGAATGGTTGTAATTGCTTCCTGATTGACTCCTCTTAACATCGATATATTCTTAGCTCAAGCGTGAAAAAGTCCTTGGCCTTTTATATCTGAAAACTGTCAGACAAACTTGAACACACCTCGCATAAGATCAACCTTTCATCAAATCTTTCTCTACATTCAAATAAATCTGTGCAATTTATTTAATCCATGGTCGCTCCAATCAAAGCATCACATTAGCAATCCAATGATAATTAAGCTCTGAGTAATTAATACTCGAGCGCTAAACAAACAAAGAGGGAAAAAAACGTCTGAGAGCTTTGAAATACATGATTTACTTGTAAGACGTGTATTCACTCCTCCACGGATGCTTTAAGTGTTTATTTCGTTATGAGTTGGATCAAGGGAAATTGGTCGTCCTTGTGAAAAAAACACTTTGTGTGTCATTAAACCAACCGCTCAAAAGGCAAGTTATTAATGATCGAATCACCACTCAAAGCTTCATCCAAAAAATAGTGGATCTATTTATATTTATACGATTTTAAGAAGGAAGATTGTTAACCAAGAAACCGAAATCCGTCTTTGATATTTTTTCTTCGTTGATTAGAGTAGATTCATGAGATGGATTTTAATCAATGGTCCTTTTCTTTTCTTGGTGTTTTTCCTAGTCGGAAACGACAAAATCAGTTTCAAATCCTTCGTGGCAGTTGTTAGGATAAAAGCGTTACTGCATAATCTTTACAGAAGGAAAACAACTACCTCAGGGCTTCTGAAAAAAAATGTTATGGAGGAAAGGATTTCATTCCGATATTTGACTGAAAGGTTTTTCTATTTAAAAATATACTCCTCATTGCAATTTATCAACGAATACCTTATTGGAAACCTTGAATGTATCGATTGCTTTGACTTTCGTTCGTCTTTATGTCCATGAGGCCCAATAGAGCCCATGAGGCCCAAACAAAGTGCGAGGTCACCGACTTACAAATTTTACACGTCAGTTTTTAAATGTTAATATTTGAAGAGAACACAACTTTGCCTAGAATTATGCAAACGTTAAGGCATCTGTGAGCTGTAGAAATAGAGATGCCAAACTTTAAGCTTCAAAAATATTTTCTGATACATTTTCTCCTATTTTGAACTGTTTCCAATCACTGTTAAATCCAGTATCAAGTATGAGAAAAGTGATATTTTTGCTATACACCATCCCCCTCCCCACTAAATTTTCTTTTATCACAGCTTTTTCTAGCTCCGTCTTTCAAAAATTCTACAGATATTTTTTTTAAGAATTACATGCAATTTTTGATAATGTCGCCAAAATACTAAAGTTTTTAAGAAACTATTTTGTAAACTATTTTGTGACGTCGTGACTTCGGTACTCTTTAGCAAGTCTGAAATGATTCTTGATATTTTTCTCCTTTGCAGATCTTGAGTGGTTTCGTATCGAGTGTTTAGTCGCTCACAATTATTTTCGTGCACGGCACGGTGCTCCGCCCCTTGTTATCGGACAAGCTCTTAACGAAGAAGCGCAATACTGGGCCGAGCGATTACTGGTCACCGGGGCAACGGAAGATCTACAAGATTCCAGAATAGGAATCAATGTTGCTGTTATACATGGACATCATGTTAGTGGTTTGAAGGTAAGAATGAAATAATAGAGAGTTTTAGATTGACTTTTGTTCTTCCCGCAAACGGGAAACGTGACCACGTTTTCATCGTTTTCCTTTATTTTACTTTACCTTTTACAAACCTACTCACCAAGCGCAAATACTCTCTTTTTTTTTCTACTACTTGGACTTTTTTCTCGATTCTTTTTCAGTAATTTAAAAGAATTTTTAACTGGTCAAATGACGTTAAACGTTTGCCGTGAACGTAAATCTAAAACTCTCTAATAGAGAGTTTTAGATTGACTTTTGTTCTTCCCGCAAACGGCAAACGTGGCCACATTTTCATCGTTTTCCGTTTTCCTGTTTTCCTATATGTATATAAAGCCATATGCAAAAACCCTTTTGTTTATATACACTTATTTCAATAAAGTTAGTCACCTGAAAAGCTACAAAGCTGAGACCGACAAGGAATATGGATAGATACATTCTACATGTTTCAAGCGCCTGATAACTGTTGATGGACTTGAGATCTTCTACCAGTTACAGTATCACCTCCTCTGAGCATCCTCAACTGCTGCAGTTTGTGTCAAAAACTTTACTTGTTGAATATGAAATATTGCCCCATGATTCTCAGCGATCACAGCTTTCTAGGTTTTTGGTGACTGACTTTATTGAAATAAGTATATACGAGTATATCAAAAGCATATCAGTATTTATTGGATATCGTTCCTGATATTTTTTTCGAGTTGTCCATTACTAGGGCTTTTTGAAAAAATATCCCATAATTTTTCATATCCATATAGTGTCATTATATACATAACACAATTTTAACTGAAACGGTCCTTTACCTTCAAGGTCACTGAACTATGGTACGACGAAGGAACTGGCTACAACTTCGAAAGCCCGGGCTTCAGCCTATCTACTCGTAGCTTCACACAGCTAATCTGGCTGACTAGTCGTAAGCTTGGTATCGGTAAAGCCACCAATAACAGCGGTCAGTGTGTCATAGTTGCTCGATACGAACCCGTGGGGAATATAGACGGTCTATTTGTGGCTAATGTCAGACGGAGGGGAGACGAGAGAAATGGTCTTGAGCCAATGATATTCGAAAGTGATGTGAAATATAGATTTAAAGTGGAAGGACGACGGAGCTTCCGAATGAGCTGGGAAGTTGAAGGTAAGAAAGAAGGTCTGTTTACTTGAATCTTATTATCATCGTTATCTAGTAATGTGATCGCGCAAAACATTTAAATTTTTTGATGCCATAAAAACAGATTGCGCATGCGTGCATTTCAGAGACTTATCAGTGTTTGACTTCAAAAATGTCCAATTCGGATGAGAAAGGTAAGGCTACTTAAGCTTATTAGGTAAATCAAATAAATGAATATGGATTGGTTAGAGAAATGTGCGGTTTAAAAATAGTAGTCAATGACGATAGAATGTTTTTTAAAATCAGCTAACGTGAAGACATTTGCGACTTATTTCCATACATGTGTTTGTCCGTGTTTCAGTAATGCCATTTTTTATGTTTACATCAAGGTACTCAAACCCTCCAAGCAGTGGACAAGACACGAGACAAAACCAGGTAAATAAAGAGTTCAATACTCCAGTTTCGAGTTCTCTGTTGCTCAGGGTTAGCCTCGATATTGTGTAGATTACTCACGTACCCCAGTGAAGGTCCGTTAAATTTCGTTCGTATTGTTAAAGTTGTGTATTCGTTACATTTCCGTTGGTAATAGCCCACCGAGATATGCTTCGCTAGTCACGCACAAAGGTTTCAGTATGAGGCTACGTTCTTAATGCTCAGTCATTCGTGACAGGCGGTAAGAATAAATTAAATTTAGCACATAGCCTCATACTGAAACCTTTGTGCGTGACAATCGAAGCATATCTCGGAGGTGGGCTTTTGTGAATACCTAGACACTGAAACGAGGCTAACAGTGAGTAGTCCGTAATCATGTCACACAGCGGTATTTGATGAATTCGATCTATCCACTTATTTTGATGAATGTACAAGAATGACTTCATATCATGTTTTAAAGCTAACCAATCCATCGATACTTGCTCATGTACGTGTCTACATATCTACAACATACCGCATACTAAATCAGAGAGTAGATCCTGAAAATGGCGACTGTTCTTTTCTCTTTTTAAGTCTTCTTAGTTGATATCACAACACCAAAACAGACACTTTACGTATACATTCGTATGCAAATTGTCCTTTAAGACCACGTGACATTCCCCTGAGAATCGAAGGCTTTTTGATACAAAGGCTTTTTTATCAGCTGGTTGAAACCTAGCAATTTAGAGATGCATAATCTATAGGCCCAATCAAAGTCAAGATAAAGTGTAGTCTCTCCATCGTGGTTGACATTTTATGCCTTGCATTGCCAGTCGTTCAGGATCTACTCTATTTGATATTCGTACCTTCACCAATCACCTGACACAAAACCTCAATGCTAGGTTGCCATGGTAACTAAGCACGTCATTAAATTATCCGTAAACTCCATTCCTTGGTGAAGGAGGAATAATTCATCACATTTGGTCACAATTTGTGCAAGGTATTAGAGATTTGGAAAAAGTAAAAAACTGAAAAAAATGATTTGCGATGCTGCAACTCGCAATGGATTGTGGGAACGATGAGGGTTGGCCGATTTATCTTTACCGTTCATTTGCAACTTGTTATTTCTTTCAAGCATTACGATATTTCCTTTGCTTTAACTGCTACATTAAAATTAAATTTCTAGCTTTAAAGTTTTAATTTGCAAATATTTTCTTTACTTCTTCAAACTGAGGCTTAAGAGCAATAAAGGGGGAAACATTAGCAACCTTGTTTTGCCCACAATGCATTGCGTCTGCAAAAAAGTCGCGAGGGCTTGGTAACTAGCATGACGTTGATCCACACCACTCACAATATCTCCAGGCGCAAAGAGCAAGCGCAGCCGGCTTACTTGTCATCCCCCGAAACATTTACCAGGCTGGTCTGGATTGAAAGTCCTGTGTTGCCAAGGAAACAGATGCGAGAGTCATGTGACCTGGACATGGAAAAATCAGACGACGACAAGGAATCGGGAGTAGAGGAAGTCGAGGAATTCGAACAAGAAGGTATGGATGAATAAATTTTTTTATTTTCATTATAATGTTAGAGCAGACCCGCGAGCGTGATATATTCTAGAAATTTTATTGGCGAATTTTAAAATGTCGTGTTATGGACATTTGATTTAATGAAGGGTAAATTCTCGTTCAAGGTGATCTGTCTGGCGTATGCCTTGCCGTGTCACTACCGTGTTTCTGCCGAGAGCTTTTCACAATCAAACGAAAACTGCACTTTCCATTTTCAAACCAATGATGGGTCATGCTAGTACTCGTACTTTATTTACGAATACACTATTCTATAATCTCATAAATAAACAAAATATCATAAGATTAAAATCATTAATACCTTAAACACATTTTTAGAGCAGCTTTCGTATGACTGTGAAAGCTCGGTGCCCTATGCGTGCCTTGCCGCGAATTTTCATTGGCTGTTGTTTTTTCTTCTTGCGCAATAGACCTTTTCTGAGACATTGAACGTGGTGCATTGTGATCTTGTTTCGGTACAAACATCTTTTGTCCATTATGCCTTATATGGTGTTGTTTGTACCGAAGCTAGACCACAATGCATCCTGTTGATCGAACTCAGAAAAGACCTATGGCGCCTATGGTGTGATTTGTCTTGCGTACTGAGAAAGTGCCATGACCGGGTTCATGCAGTGTTCCGGGTATAGTCCCCTTGCTGCACGTCGGAATTTAATTTGCACGTCGGAGCTTAATTTGGTTGACATAACAATAGGTTTATAATTCTCAGGAGATTGAAAATATTTTGTTCTGTCCTCCAAGTTAAGCTTCTTTGACGTCACATGCAACGGGCCTATTTGATTGGATGGAGAGTAAATTCTCGCGCAATCTGATTGGTCTGGCGTATGCCTTGTCGTTTCACGACCGTGTTCGCGTCGCGAGCATTTCAGAGCTTTTTACATTATCGAAAACACGATGACACAATCCATGTATTTCTTTTAACAGCCCATCATCAGTAGTAATGGACTTCATCTTTAACCAAATTAATAAATTAACAACTAGAATAATCGAGAAGATCAATAACTCGCTAGCAATGACTGACTACTGACATATTGATGGTTTTCACAGCGGCCATGTTGGAGGAAATTAACAAATGAATTGTCAATGAATTTTTTGTTATATCCTCCAACATGGCCGCCGTGCCTTTCGTTATTTAACTCTCTTGGGAATGGTTGAAAACCATCAATAGTTGATAACAATTTTCTGCCTTTTTTATAAATCGATCAATCATCATAAACCTTGAATTTTCAATCTTGAAGTGAAGCACTAATCGCGGACACTATAATCACCGTTTGTAGTCTTTATGTGCATCGCTTTAGGGTAATATGCGGAAGACATAATAAAAAGCTCAATAAGTCTATTTGTTTGTTTGTTTGTTTGTTGATCTGTCCGTATGTATGTATGTCTCAATTCTGGTGTACTTGCGAGTCTGTCCGTCTTTCGGTCTGTCTGTCTGTCTGTCTGTTTTTGTTGTTGTTGTGGTTGTTGTTTTCATCCCTTCATTCTATAAGACAAATGAATAATACGCAATCTACTGCCTCTGCGTTAACTCAACCGGAAATAGCTTAACATCACCATATACTCAAAAAATCGTCATAATCTCGAAAGGGCTGAAGAAAAAAGTCACCTCTCCATAAAACGTTAAAATCTATGAAAGCACACAGCATGTTTTACGCGCACAATTTTAATTTTTTTGTAATATTTTTTTACGTTCACATTCTCTCGCTCCTGTTCAGAGCCCAGCTTGATAGTGGTGCAGCCTATTGCTGAGGCTACTGAGACCGGAAAACAATGCGAACGAGCTATCGTCTACACTGAGCCGCAGCGCACTGATAGATACCCTGATGTGCGTAGATCGTTGTCGTTGGACTCTGAAGGTAATGGAGTCTCGGCGTACGTAACATTTGTTACATGGCATTCTCTGTGTTTTTGATCATCGATCCTCGCAAAGACTGGGGTATATTCTCTTCCCTCCAAGCAGAGACGTGTTACTTCTTTACGCAAAAGACGATTGGAAGGACATGGGGAAAAAACCGAATAGTTCTTTTGGATATTTATTTAGTTCAACGTGCTGAAATTCACGTATGCACAAACCGTTTTCTGTAGTTATCGATAGAAATGTGAATTTTGCAAACTCACGCTCAATTCAGCCAATCACAGGTCGCTATTAGAATGATTTACGAGTCAATAGAAAACGTTTCTTTGGGTCAAGTTGGTGTAAAACCTAGAGAAAAAACCCCAGGGTTTTGCTGAGGATCACTCAAACAAACTAAAGCTCAAAAATTAATTGACTAGACAAATTAATGGCACTAATATTCCTGCATGAGAAGCGAAAAACCACATGCTTCAGTTGCCAAGTTAAGGGCTACTTCAATGATATAATATATAAACGACAACATGCATGGCATGCTAATGCTGAATGACATGCTAATGATAAAATATTTGGTTATCCTCATACACACACGCACGAGTTAACCCGACTAATGTCCATCCTCTAGTTAAGTAAACACCATTAGGATTACTTCATTTTGAAAACCAATCTTTAAACCAAGAACATTCAAATTAACGCTTTCTTTTTGTGTGGCACTAGTTTAAATGGGCGAATTTAGGAAGGCCGATGGACGTGGTCCCCCTTTTGGTTTAGGAATATTTTTTACCTTTTTTCTTTCTAAAACTTAGAAAATAGCATTCCTTTAGGAGCATATATATACTCCAGATCTGCTTTATTTTGTATAGTCAGCGGTGAGGTTTGTCTAACGACTAATTCCCCCACCCCTCCCCCTCCCTCCCCTTTCTCAGATTCCTGGATCCGAAATGCCTGTACAGTCCAAAAAGCAGAATGAAATTCTAGGGTTTTAAAATTAACAAACTAGGATAGTCTTAACTTTAGCTAATAGAACGATTATTTATATATTCTTTGAAAGTGCAAGGAGTGATTACAATGATAGCAGAAAGCGAGACATATATCGTGTTTGATCTGTGTTTTGCAAACTATGCCATTACGGTGGACATCGTGTCCGTACCTTGCCTACCCATGATGTCTATCGTATCAAAGATTGGCCCAATAGTCCCCTTCACTGCACCATCTTGAAAGGTAGGCGTGCCTTTGCATCGAAGCGAGACGAACGACGGGGGGGGGGGGGGGGTACTCCCCTATATTTGCTATATGGGTATGTGCCTCCCTATAGGGTATGGTTTTTCGGCTTTTGGCTCTGGGGTAGGGTATCATCTTTTGACATTTTGTCTGGGATAGGGTATCATTTTAGTCTGGGATAGGGTTAACGATTTGGTCGTTTTTGTCTGGCGAATAGGCTACGCTTTCTGCCGACCAAAAACAATGAAAAATGTTAGTAAATGTTGATTGCAATCGATTGTAAGACCGTATTTTCCGTCCTTTAGTCTGGGATAGGGTGTACAATTCTTAGATTTAGTCTGGCGTAGGGTATGTAAAATCAAAATTTTAGGTCTGGGATAGGGTCAGGGTTTTGAGGTCCTGGCGGCACACCCCTACCCAAGTTGGGGTGGTAGTACCCCCCCCNCCCCCCCCCCCCCCCGGGATAAACGATGAGCTTGCAATGATAGACATGTGAATAACTGTTCAAGGTATTCAAAAAAGGTCTCTAACATTGCAAGCTCGCCGTTCGTCACACTTCGATGCAAAGGCACGGCTACCTTTCAAGATGGCGCAGGGAACTGTGAAGGGGACTATTGGTTGCAATTTTGAATTGCTTAAAGATTTAAGAAACCACTATTGTTATCGACTGTGGACTAATAACCGCTATTGTTTGATTTCATTGGTGTAATCTTGAATAAATTATCAAAAGTCAACATTCCAGTTATGTAAAACAAGTATCGTATTTAGGTTTTGCACCATCACGTGTCCATACCAATGATACAGCTTGGGCTGCCTGTGGTTAGATGGCAGAACATCCACAATCCCTTTGTAATTAGGAATTGAATTCTTTCTTACAGAAAACGATTGTTTTGTTCCTGTCATCTAACATGGCTGCCCTCACGTGGGCATGCAAAGCCTCTTTTAAACTTGTATAGTTTTTGTCTCGTCAACTCTTTTTGTTTACTGAAAGCAACGCTAAATACTAATCTCGTATTAACCCTAAGTTGTTGCGATTTAATACAGATAAACTTAATATGACCAACATCTGATGCTTATCCTTCCTTACCATAAACTGACTTGTTCTCAAGGTTGTATGCACCCAAATATACCTGACCACTGTTTTCCCATTTCTAATCACTCGTCATTCCCTTGAATAGGGTCTTTTTTTGGTTTGCCATTGCATAACACTAAGAAAATACATCAAAATGAATAACAAGACAGAAAGAAAGGATATCGTTTTCAAGGGAATGGCACGTGGTCTGAAATGGAAAAACAGAAATGCGATCTTTTTTAAAAGTTGTCACCAGTTTTTTGGGGGGTTTGGGGCCATTTTTTTCTTTTTTAACAAATGCACCATACTCTTCTATACCCATTTTCATCATCGCGTGATTAAAATTTAGCAATAACTCTAGACGTCTGGTGTTTGGGTTCCATCACAGGTAGCCCAAGCTTGGTTTCTGTGGTGTCATGTTATAAGGAAATGCATGGGGATTCATCAAAAATTTCAATATAATCATTGGAACGTGAAATAAAGCCTCGAAATTTTACCCGATCATTGGGTGGGGGGAAAAATCCTTAAAACGGGCTAAATTCAAAAAATAACCACACAGAGCGAAAGAAGTGTTATTTCTCAATGATCGGGTAATATAAAATATCGAGGCTTATTTCCCGTTTCAATGATTTTATTGAAATTTTTGATGAATTCCCATACATTTTCTTATAACATGACACCACAGAAACCAAGCCTGGGCTACCTGTGGTTCCATCAATCAAATTCCCAAAGGTCTTTGTAAGTATTTTCGATTGACGGCAGCAAAAAATCCAGACATCTTTGTATGTGTTGGTTGCGCAATCGTGAAAATGGGCGAAAGCTGGTTGTTTTCTGATTTTTCTTTCTTTTCCTAGGTACAGAGCCAGAACCCGAAGAAGGCCGTGTCCTTTCAAGAGTTGCTTACTTCGAACACTTCGAGAGAATCGAGAAAGACAAACTAGATCGACCAAAACGGTCTTCAATTGAGGTGACAGAACAGGTACGGCACGAGCAGTTTCAAGACGAAGAGGCGAAAAGCCACAAACTTAGTGAACATGAAGAAGCTGTCCGCCAACTCGAATACGACGATGTCTTCCCGAAGCATGACGAAAATGACGAACGGGATGACGACTTTGCTTCCGAAGGAGAGGCGGAGGATGACGATGATGACGTCATGAGCCTCGAAACTGTTTCTGAAGCAGAAGAAGATTTGCTGGAAGAACTCGATGAGTACGAAATGGACCATCACATTAAATCTTATTGTTACGAAGTAAATTACCCGCGTGAGGAAGATGAAATGAATATTAATAACGATGAAACTACCGACGAACGGGGTCAAATAGCAGATATCATTGAAACTGAACTTGATAGAATGGATAAAGAACAAGATAGTCTAGATCCCGATCATTTTGTTGCTTCTTCTGCGGACAGAGATGGTAGAGCGAAGAATGAAATGCGCGTTGTTGATACCCACATTGAATTTGTTCCAATCCAAGTTGTAAAACGCCGCAAAGACTTCAACCCCGACGATGTAATCTTCGACGAAACTGAAGAAGACAAAGAACTATTTAAATATGAAATTAAAACACCCGAAAAAGAAAAGCCTGCGAGGCCACTTTGTACGGAAAGTGTTAGTTCGCAAACGCGTGATCGAGTCGAATGTGAACTCAATTTTGATGAAATGTTTTCGAGGATGGATAAAACTGAAAAACCAAAGGGGAAACCACCACCAACTTTACCAAAACCTAAACGAAAACTAAAAGAGGAAGCTCCAACAGAACCGAGGACAGATATAATAAGGACATTAGAAACTAAGCAAATTGTTGATACTGTGCATCGAATTAAAACGGAACCTGAACCGGTTACAGTGCAAAAGGAGGAGATTGTAGAGACATCTAAACACGTTACAGAAGAAAAGACCGCGGAACCAAAACTTGTGGAAACACCAAGCGAATCAAGGGCTGAAATGATAAGGACATTAGAAACTAAGCGAACTGTTGAATCTGTGCATCGACTTAAAACAGAACCGGAACCAACAGTGCAAAAAGAGGAAATTGTAGAGACATCTAAACACGTTACAGAAGAAAAGCCCGCGGAATCAAAGCCTTTGGACGCACCAAGCCAATCAAGGGCTGAAATGATAAGGACATTAGA